TGAGTATTACTTGCTTTCTTGGTTTATTTGTTTAACGGCATATTAACTCCATATGGGTCATTTCATGCCAAAATTGTACATTATACTTGCGTGTGCGGATATAATTACAATTGGCGGTGATATGTGTTTTATATTCTACTTTTGTTGAAGCTATATTTTGAAATACAGTTTGATTTCTTTAATCAATATAATATCCTACAATTTGTTAATGTCATGAAAGAGTTCTTTCATGTTTATTGGTTGTTTGGTAATATTTTAAACGGACTTAGCCGAGGCCGCTATAATTTGTTAGTGTTTTATTGCGTATGGTTTTTGGAATGCCATACAGATTGGAGATGTATCTTGTTTTAGAATGTAAAATCATATTCCATCTTTTGATTCATCAGTGTAGATAGGAAGATAGCTTGGATTTTTGTCATGGGAGATGATGGAATTGGTTGTGTTTTGGGGGATTTTTCAGGCTCAGGTGTATTTTCGACTGCAGGTTGGTGCCTTGAAGATGGCAGATTCATGAATGGTTGTTGCGTATATTTCTGACTTGTTGAGAAGATCGTAATCTATATGGCTTAATATATATTTCCTTTCTATTAAATAGAGGTTTGCCTTGAGGATAGAATGTGAATTTTCTATATGGGGATTGTTGGGCATGAAAAGTACTGTAGTGCCAGTTTTTACGTCTTAATTGTAGCGGAGATTCGTATACTTCAGTGTAGAGTCTTTGTGTTGGAGCTGTGGAGAAAGCACCGAGGGTAAGTCTTAGCCCTTGATGAAGAGTGTTCAGTTTCCTTATTTACGGTTTCCCTGCGGACCCGTATATAAAGCACCTGTAGTCAAGTTTTGATCTAATAATGGCACGGGAGAGTTTCAGTAATAATTGTTTGTATGCTCCCCATATGTGTGAGCAATGGCTCGGAGTAGTTGGAGGGGTTTGTTACATTTTGACGGGAGATAATTAATAGGAATGAAGGTCAGTTTCCTGTCAAAGATTATCCTATTGTATTTGTACTGATTTACCACAGGAATGGTGCTATTATTAAGCTGGAGTGTAGAGCCATAATGCATTTTCCTTAGTTGGCAGAAGTGTATGAATTTAGTTTTATCGTTGTCAGTAGGCAATTTGTTTATTTTGTTCAAGCGTAGTCGTCGGTTGCGTTCTATTGTGTTGATACGTTTGGACCTGTAATATGCCACAAAGTCATTCCTATATAGGGTACAGTCTGTTCCAGTACTTATACTTTCAGTGATTTTTTTTTTTTTTACATTAAATATTGTAACAAACAGGATACTCCCTTGTGGTAACCCCATTCCATACTCTCTTAGATCCATATCCTAAAGCATCATTCCTTCTCAAAAATGAAGGATTTGCGGACATCTGTTTATATGAACTTCATCCTTGTTTTCGTGTGAGGAATCTACCCTCAAAGTTTGTAATAAAGCATGGATAAAGAAAGGTGGGATCTTTGACACTACAATGGGAAGCTTTGACGGTTCAGAGACTTGCGAAAACATAGGTATATACTGTCTACACGAACTACGCAAAATAATAGATAGAAATGACATGACTACAGGGACGACTGTCTCATAATCTTAAGAAACTGCAACAAACAAAACACAGACAAAAGTAGAAAAGCAATAATAAAAATAAAGGATTCGTCGTAGATATAAAAACTAACCTAAACGAAGTAGATTTTCTGGATATTACCTTCAACCTAAGAAAAGGCACATATAAACCATACAGAAAACCCAATGATAAACCACTATATACACACATCTTCCAATCACCCGCCTTCTATAATCAAACAGATACGAAAATTGATTAACCGCAGGCTTTCCGACAATTCCTCCAATGAATGCATATTTAACAAAGCTAAGAAAGACTAGCAAACAGTCCTAAAAGATAGTGGGTTCAACCCACCGTACAGCAAAAACGTAAAAACAAACGTAGGGAAATATTTTTCAAACTTACACAAACTTCCCAGAATCAAGCACCCTACACAAAATATTCAACAAAAAACATAGTAAAAATCAGCTACAGTTGCACCGAGAACATGGCACAAATAATAAAAAAGCACAACAGGAAAACTATCAGCAAACCACACGAACAAATTAAATCCACGTGTAACTGCAGAATAAAGAACGAATGTCCTTTAAATGGTAATTGCTTACAAAACAACCTAATATACCAAGCCACGATAAAATCGCCAGATAATGAGGAAAAAGTATACACAGGAGTAACTGAAGGACCCTGGAAACGAAGAAATTATGCACACAAAACATCTTTCACAAATAGTAAATACGCGAACAGCATAATGCTTTCTAAATATATCTGGGAAATTAAAAAAAAACGCACATCACACCAAAAATATCTTGGAAAATAAATAAAAGATCATCAGCCTACAACAACCAATTCCAAACTTTGCTTGGAGGAAAACATAGCTATCATTACCTTCCAAGACCAAAATAAATTATTAAATAAACGATCTGAGCTCATCTCATAATGCAGACATAGAAACAAATTTTTACCACGTTACTTAAAAATCGAAAACTGAAAAAAAAGTAAAATCAACAAACAAAATTACAATAAAATAAGTAAAATGAATTAACCCAAACAAATTACCAATTCACACCCGTCATAATAGACGAAATAGAATAAATAAAAAATAAACTCAATGAACCCAAATAAATAAAGTAAATAATAAACAAATTAACAAACCATTATGACCAAAATAGACTATAAAAATCAAACCAAAAATCGGACGAAAAACATAGCTACTAACGCTAAAAAAATACGTTATTTAAAAATCGACAACCAAAAAGGGTAAATTAAAATATACAGTATAATAAATAATAAAAAAACAAGTAAAATAAATTAATCTAAGTTAATCCAAGTAAATAAATAAACAAACCGATCCCGATAAATTAATCGTTAGAAAAAACAAGTAAAGATAAGCAATCTAAATAAATAAATGAAGTAATAAACAAATTAAAAACTGCTCCAGCCAAAATAATACTTAGAATAAACTACAGCAATCAACCCCAAAAATTGAATAAATTGCTTTATCTTCCCAAACCTAAACAAAACTATTAAATAAGCGATACAAACAAATTTTTACTACGTTAATAAAACACCGATTAAAATTAAAATAAATAAATATATAAGAAATAAAAATAAATAAAAACAAGCAAAATAATGTAACCCAAAGAAATAAACAAACGACTTCCGGCAAAAATAGACTACCCACAATGCACCACTGACCCGTATATATAAATAGCAGAGAAAACAAACAACACTCGTGGCCTGACGATTGCGTCTAGCATGAAACAGCCTGTTGCCTCTAAGTGTTGACTTCAATGTTCATATATATATATATATATATATATATATATAAACACAGCAGCCCTTCTACAGAACGCATAGCCCCATTAGACATCCCAGACCACCCAGATTAAGTAGACAATCAATAGAAAACACACTCAACCTTCAGAGTTTTAGGCGTAGACGTTAGAAGTAAAGAATTGAAGTGGACTTTAGAAAGAACCGGAAACAAGAGATAAACCTCTACTCCCGTTCAAAAGATCAAGGAGGAGTGTAAACCGGGCGATAGATGAATGTTCATGAATTTTAAAATGGAAAAATCCGTTGCACTGGCTCAATCCAGCTCTCTTAGCAAGAATATGAAAATATTGTAGAAACACAAGTGTTACAGAGTTTAACTTCTAAATGGACACCTTAACAAACGATAATAAGGTTCGACACTGTAAGAGAGAAGAAATGATGATGAGGGGGAGGTCAAAAAGTTCAGTGCGTCACTCGCCGGCAGGCCAGCTACTTTTTCCTTATTCGGTCGCCTCAAGAAAATGAATTGCTTTGACTCCCTTTCTCAGCCGTTACACTGGGCAGTTGTGAAACAGACTCAACTGAGCCGCGCCTACTTCGACTTCCTCTTTGTCCGTACGCCCAACTATTACACGCTGTCCGCTGAATGACTCCCTAACCCTTGGTGTTGCTGGCACCCCGCTTTTTATGCTATTCCAACACGGCCAAAATTTACATGTGTGCAAATATCGTCTCGTTTTGGACGAGATAGGCGCATATGAATTGTGTCTATAACAGCGGCCATATTTCTTTTTGTCATCACTATGCAGGCAAGACACGTTCGCGCTAGTTTCGAATTCTAAGGTAAGTCATGTCTTTCGTCGCAGACACTTAACGCGTGCTCAGGCACAAACCCAGAATTCTGCTTAAGAATAAAGCGGTACATTTTGTTTCAAATATTAGAATGCCGGTACAAGTATTAGGTTAGTTTGGCTGATTTTTTTTTTTTTTAACGCTATATCAATCCTTGTTGTGTGTTATTTAATATCGAATTTTGTGTGGTGGATCAAACTGCGTATTCTTAATCAGAACAGCTCCGCTAACTATTACACCCCCCAACCACCCACGCCGAAGCACCAGATACAAATACCAAGAATTATTTTGCAAGCTGGGCCGAAGTGCCGTTGAAGCTAATCGCAGGAAATTAAATAATTAACCTCCCTGCCCCAACGTGCTGACTTGCACTTTGATATGAAACCTTGAAATAGACGGTCACCAGTTGTCGATTATGATACTTTAAATTACCAGAGAGAAGAGAATCGTTTGAAAATTACCAGAGAGAATCGTTTGAAAATTACCAGAGAGAATCGTTTGAAAATTACCAGAGAGAATCGTTTGAAAATTACCAGAGAGAAGCGTTTGAAAATTACCAGAGAGAAGCGTTTGAAAATTACCAGAGAGAAGCGTTTGAAAATTACCAGAGAGAAGCGTTTGAAAATTACCAGAGAGAAGCGTTTGAAAATTACCAGAGAGAAGAGAAGCGTTTGAAAACTTTCAGAAAAGCAAGGAATATCGAAAGATACTATATGTATAGAATGTTATATAAAAATACAGCAAAAATAGTTGATTAAACAGTGAAAATAATTTAAATACAACTTCATTTGTTATCAAGACCAAATAAGTTACGGCTACATCACATTGAAATACCGGTTCCCGTACGATCACTGAAGTTAAGCAACATCGAACCTGGTCAGTATCTAGATGGGCGACCACTTGAGAATACCAGGTGCCTTAAGCTTGGAGTTGCTAATTTGGGAACCGAAATTTAATTCCTGTTGGTTTCGTTATATTCATTTAAGCGCAAATAAACTTTGAAAAGGTATGAATCTACCTCTTCTCCCTCCAGCTATGGGTTAATTAATAAGATTTGTATTACTAAACTATTATTATTAAAAAAAACACCCAACCAAAAAAGTTACTATCGAGTTTCAAATAGGGTGTGTGGTATAAAAAATTTGGCTGGAATTATTTTATTTATTTTTTAAAAATTTTCAGTAATGAAGCGTCATGTTCTAAAATACTCGCAAACTAAATTAGAGGTTTGGGGAAAATTTGATTGTTTAATAAAAGGGATGGTTGAAGTAAGGTTTCAAGTAAGGATATAGATTTTCTCTAAATTAAAAAAAAGGTTATAAATTAAATTAAAAATATAAAATTAAAAAAAAAAGGTTATAAATTAAATTAAAAATATAAAAATTAAAAAAAAGGTTATAAATTAAATTAAAAACATAAAATTAAAATATAAAAATTTTAAGAAACAAAATACAGGAGTAAAAAATAAAATAAAATATTGTAAAGAGGATAAAACAAAAGAAACTGTTTGGACCCTTCTATTTGAAATAACAATGAGGTTATATAGCAGTAGGGCAGGTAGATTTTGGAAGTGGTATTACACTCAATTTGAAAGTTGGGGTTTAACATGATAAATAACAATATCCAAATCGTTACTATTTTTTGAGGAAACTGGGTTATAAAAAAAAAAAAAAAAATTAAGTTTAGGTTCAAAATCGTAGCGTTGGAATTTCATTCTAGTGGTTAAATAAAAGCCTTTCAGTGGTAGTTGGAATGTCGAACTGAACCCTTTATTTCGCTCACTGGGGTAAACTATCCTAGTTCCACGTGCCATGTCTAATTCTCCTCTCCAAGTTCTTCATCGCCTTAACCAGGTATTGAACTCTAGATCCAGTGACAGGACCCAAAGAGTGTGAGGTCAATACTCTTTAAGGCGGTGGAGAACTTGGAGAGGGGAATTAACAGGAGATAACTGACATCCATTAAACATGGCACGTAAAACGAGAACAGTCTACCCCAGTGAGCGAAATAAAGGGTTCAGTTCGACATTCCAACCACCTGAAGAAGGCCGGAGCGTACAACGGCCGAAACGTTGTGATAAACATGGCGACAAAGATGAGAACAATAGTCCGAATAATGTAAATAGTGTACATAATACCTCATCTCAGAAATATAGACTGATACCTTTTTAGTACATTTACATGGATTAATTTTATAGAGGTCTTTTATGAATTCAATAGCAATAGAAGTTGTTGGATTTTTGAACTTGAATACATGTACAGTAATTTGTTTTCAATTCACAACTAATTAATAAATAAATTAAGTGAAACATACTTCAATAAAGAAAAAGTTCATGAATGACAGACCAGTGTAATTCAATAAACAAAATTCTGTGAATAGAAAAAAAAAAAAAAAAATGTAAAATATCCCACACCCACTCGAAACCCTAAAATTCTTCCCTAGTTGATAAATCCTGTTCTATATCATAGGTAATCGCTGGATATAACGTAACGATTAGTTAGTTTTTTTGTTGTTTTTTTTTTAAGCATATCAACCTTAGTGGCTTATACCGACATTTTTTTTTTTGTAGAGATGCGTATGAAAAGAATATGCATCAATATATTTTTTTCAAAATTGTATTGCTGCTATTTTTACTCTAAAAATCTATTCTTATACTTTCATAATGTTTTGATTCCAGTTTGGGGGTCAACTATTTGTCCATAACTTGGACCCTAACAAGTGCTACCACCCCGGGTCCAGGTGAACCTGGGAACAACAGCAATAAGCAGGTGGTTATACGCTTCTGAAAGTCTCCTGATCAGAGGCCTTGCTGCCGGATGTAGTTTATCGTCATACCCAGAACGCCGTAACGATTAGTTTAGGAAAATTTAAGCTATTCATGCAGTGCGAGGAGTTGGCAATTTGAAGAAAAAGATCCCGGTAAGAGAGATTTGTAATTAATTAAATAGTAACCATATTTTTTTAAAAAAAATTGAAAACCGATAAACATTAAGCAAAGAATAAAAAAAAAAATCACTTTTAAAAAAAAAAAAAAAAAAGTTTGAATGTGTGAGAAATGGAATGGGGAACTGGGTCTTTTCGCATTAAAGCAATTCTTTAGTTGTCCGTTAAAAAAAAAAAAAAAAAAAAAAAAAGGAAAGACAAAACAATGAAGAAAGTCTGTGACAATTACTTTGATTCAGTTCCAAAGAACAGTGAACAAGATCAGAGAATTCCTAGATTAAAGTTCTTTTTTATGTGGATAAGAACGCGAGCGATTTTCAAAGGCGGATTTTGGCGGAATTTCAAAATCCATGAAAGTCAGACAAAATGGTTTGGTCTGGAGTTCCCCCCCCTCACCACAACACAATACACACGCTAAATCATGCACTTACACTCCTATACACAGGTAGGCACCCCCACACATCAGTTACATATATTACCGCACGTGCGTACACGCAAAAAAAAAAAAAAAAAAAAAAAACATGACCACGCATCCATCCACATATATGTACTCACAGACACGTTCACTCTTTCAAATATGCTTCCTCGTTCTCAGAGACATGCGCATATACTCTCCCCCTCTCTTTCTAGTAAGCATACTCTCATTATTCCAATCAGTTCGGTTCTATGTAAATAGAGCTGATTATATCACTTATTGAACACCGTCAATCTTAGTCAGACGACACGGCCTCAGTCAATCTGTTATCGTTCTGCTTGATGCTTTCGTCAGATTACGAAATGACGATATCTCCAAATAAATTATTCTGGATTCTGTTGCACAGATTTGTTAACAGAATCAAAAATTCACTTCTTGGAATATATTGGGATTTTAGGAAGATTAAGCAGATATTTTCATTGTCTGATTCGAAAGCTTTCGACATTTCTATATCTCAAAAAAAAAAAAAAAAAAAAAAAAGTGTAAATTCAATTTTATAAACATAATCTATGTCACAATTGATCCAACTTTCGTCATTTACATATCTAACCAGCCTGTTAGCATCTATCTAAGTCTGATAATGATTTACATATTTACATAACAATCTGTGTTTTTACATATATGCATCTATTTCAATCTTAATATCTCTCAAACGATTTACCTGGATATCTGCAGTCACATACGAACCAAAAGTTATTTCCATTTTTGACTAACTTAACCCCTTTCCCGCCAATTATTCTTGGAAAAACGTTTCATTTTCAGACGAAAATTTTTTATTCGTTGTTAATATAGTAACTAAGAAACTGAGGCAACTTGAAGTAGCCGAGCGGAGTTTATACCTCTACCAGCGGTATGAGCTGATAATTAGATTCGTTTCAAGTTCAGAAGGGGAAAAAAGAATGAAGATCGACGTATCTTTGGCTGCTTTTTGAACATTATGTATTCGACGTGTTTATTCGTCTATGTCTGAAAAAGTGGCTTCCGGTAAAAACGTATCTAGATTTATTAAATGCCTGTTGAGCAACTGTATATATAAAGAAAAAAAAATACTAATCTGAGATCCTAGAAAAAAAAAAATCTAAATTTATAAGTTAATATTAAATAATTACATTTACCTATTATAAGCACTAATTTTGAATATTCTAATGTCTTAAATCTAATGAGCTATAAATAGAAACAATTACTATAGTTATGATTTTTATTGAAAAGCCTTTCTATCACTGCAAAATTACTTGAAGTAGCCGAGCGGGTTTTATACTTCTATCAGCGGTATGAGCTAAACAATTAGATTCGTTTCAAGTTCAGAAGGGGGAAAAAAAAAAGAATCAAGATCGACATATAAAAGCATCATTGGCTGCTTTTTGAACATTATGTACTGGACGTGTTTATTCGTCTATGTTTGAAAAAGCGGCTACCGGTAAAAACGTATCTACGCCGGAGAAGTGGCAAAATACAAGAATAAAAAAATAAAATAAAGAGTGAATTCCAAAGTTCAATTTAAATTATGTAGTGCACAAGCAAATATTGAGATATAAAGATTGCACGAAGAACACGTTGAAGAAGGGAAACATCTTGAAAAAGAATTGGGAAAACAGAACTGTAAATGGGCCCCAACAGAATAGAGTTGCACATTAAAAGCTCAGATATTTGTAAGGGTGTCGAGGTTACTTTCCTTGAAAATGTTGCTACAAAATTTGATCTAACATGTAATGAGTGTGGTCGAGTCAGACCAAGTAGAATAGGCCAAAGGATTGTAGCAAAGATGGAGGCATCGTTTATCTTTGGAAGTCTGATTAAAACTGAATATTTTTATAGGCGGATCTTTTTTTTTTTAACATCAAGGCTTCTATTTCAGTTCTAACAAATTCCAGACTATCTACGTAGCTAGCTATATCCACACACAAATCCAAAGTCACTTTCTTCTTTTGACCAACGAAAAAAAATAAAAATCGAGATTTAATTAAATAAAATTTATACAGTTATTTGTACTGAAATTCTGACCCTTAGATTTATTAGATGCCTGTTGAGCAACTGTATATATAAAGAAAAAATATTAATTTGAGATCCTGGGGGAAAAAAAATCTAAATTTATAAATTAATGTTAAATAATTACGTTTGCCCATTATAACCACTAATTTTGAATATTCCGATAATGTGTCTTAAATCTAATAATCTATAAATCGAAACAATTACTATACTTATGATTTTCTATCACTGTAAAATTACTTAATACACATAAACGAACAATTTCGGATCACGATCTGACATAACAGCTGGCGGAACGAATTTAAAGATTACTTGATGCAAGAAATTAACTTTTTTTTTTCATGTAATGTATTTTAATCTAGATATCAAGATTTATTTATCTTAACCTTGACGTGCGGAGTTACTTCTGCGAAATTCTCTGTTGGGACGTAATTAGTTGAACTTTTATATAAATTTATTTTTGAGCGTACAGTAAATAACTTGGACTCATTGAATGTCATTGATATTATGGAAG